TTTTTTTTTTTTTTGCGGAACCAGGGATGGAACTCAGACCCTTGCGCTTGCCAGGGAAGCGCTTATTCCACTGAACCATCTCCCCAGCCCCTATTAATCAGCTTTGAAAATGTCTCATTCATATTTGTTTCTCAATAAAATTAAAATTTAAAAAAAAATGAGGGAAGGAAAGGTTTATTTAGCTCACAGTTACTGGAGGTTTCAGCCCATACTTAGCTGGGTCCAAGGCAGAGCAGCACATAGCAGAAAGCAGCCTTTCATGGCAGAGGCAAAGAGCAAGAGCACAGGGAGAGGTAGCAACAGCTCAAGCAGCTAACTTCTCTTCCCACCTTACATTGTAATGCAAATCACCTACACCAGGGCAGATGCAGTATCCACACCCACAGTAATCAATCACAAACTCCAGAAGCTGCCCCAAGACTGCTTGAGGCTTTAGGGGGACAACTATACACAAACCACAACAGGGTCACGTGTGCATTCCCAGCAAAGGCATGCCCTGGCCAGCTCTGCCTCATTGCCACCGTTTCCCCACAGATGGAAGCAGATAGCCAAGGACATGAAGGGGCACAGTTACAGACTGGCCAGGCATGGCCTGGCACCCTCACAGATCTGTGTGACCCTGAGAGCTCGTCGTGGTGCTGCACGAGCACGTTCTGTGACTGTGACAAGGCGTAAGATGAGGACCCTGAAGCCTACAGGGCCTGCTCCCGACCTCCCTGCGGACCTCCACCGCTTCACTGAGAACGCAGCTGCTGTTCCAAAGCATCTCAAGAGGAACAGAAAAGACACGCACACCAAGCGTGGTCTGCTTCTCATCTAGAGCCGGACTCGCCAATTGGCTCGATACTCCAGGACCCAGCGGGTTCCCCCAACCCGAACTGGAGACAGGAGTCCTCCACAACCGCTGCTCTGGGGGCACAAATTTGTCTTTGTGCTAAAGCAACAAAATCATGACTTAACTAAAAATAAACAAACACATACACACAACGCAGTGCAATGCAATCAGAGGCTGCACACTTACTTCGGGCTTCGGTCTTGTCTGCCTCGCTCAGGCATACGTCTTCCTTGGCATCGGTGCTCCCCTCAACTCCATGCCTCATAAAAAACTCCGCATCATGTTCGTCAGTTTCATTCTCAACACCCATATCATATTTCTGCACCCCTTCTAATAGTTTTACTGCTGCCAATTGGGCAAATCTGTAGAAAAGAATCACATCTTAACGATATCCATAATTTTCAAATTTAACCTGCAGCTTGTTCTTGGACAATTCTACCCTGCTCTTCCCTGAATCCACCTATGGTCAAGAAGCAGATCTGTACCTAAGGGTGAGTGACAATTTAGCATACATGTGGCTCTGCAGGAAACTTAACCTGTTACTGGACAAAAAGACCAATATTCATTTAAAACCTGATTTCATTTTTACTGACAAAAAAAAAATTCACTGCAAGAGGAGATCCAAAATCAAAGAGTATCCGGAAGAGAACCCAGGGCCACTCCATTTGATTCTTTTTTACTCTCCTTGTTAGCCCACTAGAGATGGTTGAGTAAGTTCTGGGTCCAGGTATTCACAGGGCTAACTGCAGTATGAGTCTCCTTAACCTCCATCCTGCTTTAACCCAAGGCACTTGTAAAAACTATTTTTCATTAGAAAAATGAAAATGAAAATCTTGATGTGGTACCATGGCATTACTCCTCGCATTATGAAATTAAAAAAAAGCTGACAATACCAAATGCTGCTGAGAAGGACACAGAAATTCTTATCCATTGCTCTTCGGAATGCAAATTGGCAAGGCCACATTGGAAGGTACTTTGCCGGTCTTTATAAAGTTAAAATATACACTGAGCATGGGTTTACGCCGAAGTATTTGTCCATGGAATTGAAAACATGGTTTTCAGCCGATGGTGCAGGGAGCTTACGGCTACATGGTTCAACACAGCGAGCACACTGCACAAGGGTGCAGCCAGCAGTGCGGGCTGTGCCACTCAGCCTGGCTGTGCAGCGTGTTAATTCATCTAAATCTGTGTTAAGGACAGTTATAATATTCAGACAGTGAGATCACCTATCAACGCATCCCAGAACGCACGGCAACACTCAGCAACACCCGACTCTACGCATTGTACGATTTGGCTTTATAAAATTCTAGAAAATGAAAAATAATCTATGGAGATAAAAAGCAGATGAGCATTTGCTTGGGGAAATGACAGGGGGAAGGAGAGAGGTTATAAAGTGGCAGCTGAAGATGTTCAGAGGCAGTATGTTCACTATCTTTGATCACAGTAATGACTTCATGGGGTTCTACATTTAAACTTATCACTCTGCACTGTACAAATGTATGCCTATCTTGATAAAGCAGGTTTTTTTTTTTAAACTTAAGCTAGGTGGCCAGTGAGATACCTCAGTGGTCTAAGGCGCCTGCTTAGGCAAGTTTAGGCAGGCACATGGGATCGCGGTCGGATGGGCACCACGTGCAGCGCCAGCCCTGCCCCCGGCAGGCTGAGCTGCCCCACCCCCTCAAAAAAAGCTTTAAGCTAAATGAGTCGACAATGCTTCCAGGCATGTGGCACAACAAAACCCCACTCAAAGCATCAATGAAATTCCACAGGTGGCATTTCAAGGAATAGGAGCTCATGAACACACCCCACCCAGCAAGTCAGAGAATTAGGGCACCCGCCAGCAGATGCGGCTTCCCACACTTGCGCTTTAGGGTCAAGCAGTCCTGAAACTCAAATGCCCAAGAATTACTTTAAATGTTCAGCGTATTACTTAAAAAATACTTTTCTTCCCTGAGTTCCTTCTGAAGTCTGCCCCTCTAAAGCCTCCTTCATAACCCTAGCTTCCCTTGTGTTAATGTCACCCCACCTGTGCCCTCTTCTCCCTGCACAGCCTGTGGATAACGCTTGCTTGCGTTATCTTCCATTCTTAGGGACCTTATGCATTCCATGTCATAAGACACAACTAGGACACAACCATTACAATGACTAAGAACTTGGGTTTGTGTATTTGTCTCCCCATAAGATAATGAGCTCCCGGATGCCCAATCTGAATGCTAATCACAGAGCCAGGACCTGGGTAAGTAGATAGGAAGCTGAAGGAAAAGATGAAGGAAACAGATGTGGATTAAATATCTCTTGAAGCCCTGACCTGAATAAGCTGGTGGTGCTACATTTCATTTGAAAGTAAATCACAAAATATGAATATTTGAAAACCCTTAGGATTTGTGATCAATACTGACAATTCCTTTTGATCACAGTGCTCCAAGCATTTGAGAGAACAGTTCATGGTCACCACATTCCATCATTCCAGAAAAGGCAGCCTTCCCCAGCCCACTCCCCTACACATTAGTCACTGTGACAACTTCTTCTCCTTGCTAAGTGGCCCTACCCACCCCAAAGGGGACAAATTCCTCTTTCCAGTTGAGAATCACTCTTTTGGAGCGAAGAGTTGATACACTGCCAGACGCCTGTTCAGCTTGAAGATTATGACTGCACTGGCTGTAACTGAGTCCTCTAAGATTCCACTAATTTCTAGGAAATCTTGGTGCGGGGCAGGACCTGCAGGACTCGATAAACAAAAGGAACAAAGCAGGTGTGTGTACCTCTTAGCCACGTCACTGGGTCTCTCCCCTGCTTTGTTGGTAATATTATTGTCCGCGCCCATGTTAATCAGCCACTGCAAGCACTCCATGTGGCCCTGCCCAGCAGCTGTTAAGAAAAGGGGCAAGAGACAGAAAATACACGTAGAAGACAGTCACTGTTAATGACCACCTTCTAAAACTCGGGATACTACAACTACAAGTGTGGTAGGAACTGTTCCTTGCAGCAACAAAGATAGGTTGGACAAATGTCATTTTCTTATTTCCTCTATTCATTCTTCAGACATCTAATGAAGTATCTGCTTTTTAAGTAATTGAGTTTACTGGCAAGTTTTAGGTACACATAATGATCAGACTCACCATAGGACGCTTGTACGTGTACATGATATATCTGGATTCTTTTTTCCTGCAAGCTCCTCCCCTCCCATCAGCTCCTCTGCCCCTCATTTACTGAGGCTTTGTTTCCATTTTTTCCTTCTCGTTTCTTTTTCTATTCCCTCCCCTTCCTATTTCCCTTCCCCTCCCCAGTTCTTTCCAAATGAACAATTTCTTCCTGTTTTACAGTATCTATTTTATACACATTGATACTTATTTACACTTTCAGTTTCTCATACCAGGGAAATGATGCGATATTCACATCTGTCAGTCCAATTTAGGCCAGATCCACATGCCATCCAAGGTCTTTCTTCAGCACCGTGATGTGCACATGTGCAAAAGTGAATGCACATTCGATACATACATCTGCAGGACTCTGACTCGGGCACATGTGTAGGGAACGGTAGGGCAGAGGGCTCTTGAGCTTTCTTAAAAATTAATAAGACAGCTTTGACCTGTGCAGCCAGACTCAAAGGCAAAGCAGCTAAAACAAAATGGAAGCCCTGTGTTCAATACCCTGAACAGGCAAGAAAGAAAGGCAGGAAGAAAGAGAAAGGAAAGAGAAACAGAGGGGGAAAAAAGGCAAAAAGTAAAGCAACAGAAAGGCAGGCAGGCAGACACAGACATAGGGGAGGAACTCAAGGCCTGGAAATTTCCAGGTAGTACGATTTGCACAAGAAGCACCAGCTTTCCCTGTACTTGATCCTTAAACCAAAGCTACCTTTCCTAAAGACTCCCACCAATAACCTTAGCCTCCATGAAAAGTCAAGAAAAGGTCCCAAAGCCAGAAAAGAGAGAGAGAGAGAGAGAGAGAGAGAGAGAGAGAGAGAGAGAACGAACAAAAGGTCCCAAAGCTAGAAAAAAAAAATCTAAGATTAGGGTGGGAAACAAGCAAGGGAGCCAAGCTGGCTCCAAGACCCTCCGTGGGATGTGGCTCTCAATACAGAGGAGCTGTAGACAAGACTCAGTGACTCAGTTCACCTCCACATTCTCCCTACGCAGTCAGAATAGCTTTCGTGGCCTCTCTTGCTCCCTCCCCATATCCTAATAAAATGCCTTTTATTTTAAACTGCTTCTCTACTTCTCTCCTGACTGCCAGGAGCTGCCCGCTCCAGCAGTGCAGGGGCTCTTGCCGACCCCCAGACCTTGCAGTGTGGCGCCCAGCCCACCATGGGCCTTACACTTAAACTCAAACCATACAGGTTCCAAGTCTCACTTAATGACATAAACTACACTCATGTAGATCTTATATTTGCTTTACACTGTGGATTAAACCAAAGTTTAATAAACAAGACGAAAAAACAATTGGAGAAAATAATATATGATTTGTGGATTGTAAGAAGTTATTTACGGCGTTCTGGGAACGCCCAGATCAAGTCCTGGCCCAGACCGGGCGAGTGTGTGGGAGAGCTGCCTCTCCCCGCTACTCCACCTTGTCCCCTCCAGACTCACCTAAGGCCTGGAATACAGGCCTGGGGTGAAACCCTGCAACTGCAATCCCTGCAGAGAGTGTAGGGGACAGAACCACCCAGCTAGTCCAGGAGCACAGCATCTTGCTAGGGGGGCACAACAGGTTCACCAAGGGCAGTAGCAAAAAGGAGCTGAGCACAGCATCCAGACCCAAGCCAGGCACAGCTAGATAAATCCAAACTTTGTAGATCTGCACCTGAACTTCAGTAGGTGCTAAAGTTATAACTGCACCAAAGACCTACAATAAAGGTCAGAAGACAGTGCTACACAAAATGACAATGAGAAGGAGCAAAATGCAATCTCAGAACCCAAGTCCACCCATAACAAGTGCAGAGGACACTAACACAGAACAAACTGGGAATCACACAGCTGAAATCAATGAATCAATGGCTTCTAAAATAAAGAAACAGCTGCAGAAAGGTATAGAGGAACTCAGAATGGAAATGAAAAAAGAAATCCCTGAATGAATAATATCTGCAGTAAAGAATCAAATGCAGAAACATATGGAGGAAACCCAATGCCCACCCACAACAAGTGCAGATGACAGTAGCTCAGCTCTGTCTTATTTACTAAATAAGCAACAGCAGAAAGTCATAGAACTCACAGCAGATTTCTTTTCTACTAGCTCAGCTCAAATGTAGGAATTAATAGTGTTGATAATAAATAAGAAACAGCAGAAAGTTATAGAAGAACTCAGAGCAGAAATTTCTGAAATAAGAAAAGAATTCTCGGAACTCACAGCATCTGAAGTAAAGAATTAACTACAGAAACAGAGAGGAAACCCAATCTGAAAAAAAACACTGCAGAAAAGAATTAATAACTGCTTCTAAAGAAGACATTGATAAAAAAAAATAGAGGAGATTAGAAAAACGACAGATTCCTTGAATGAGCAATACAGGAAAGAAATACACCACATGAAGAAGAGTCAAAGAAATAAAGAGGAATTTCAAATCTCAATCAAAAGCTTGAAAAACCATTTCAGTGATGGGGCCAGGGAGATGGCTCAGTGGAATAAGCACTTCTCTGGCAAGTGCAAGGGCCTGAGTTCAATCCCTGGTTCCGAAAGAAAAAAAAAAAAAAAGTTTAAAACCATTTCAGTGAAAGTGAAGACAGAGTTTCAGATCTTGAAGACGCTGGTGCAGCTAGTGAAAAGGTAAGAAAGGATCTCTTAAAAACAACGAGGATGCAGGAAAAATAATCCATCACCTGCAA